TGTGAAAAACAACGTAAGTTCTTTCAAAATACATGTGCTAGGTTTCCCTGTCAAGGTAATATTGTTCCTCTATATACTCGTTTTTGGGACCATCGAAGAATCCTTCCTAACCTTTCCTTGATTAAATGAAAGTTCGTCGCTCTTTGGTTCTCAAGGAACGGTGACGCTCGTTGGAAAGTGTCTTTGGTTAAAGGCAGTGACCACGACGGCCGGAAAGGCGAGCGATTTTAAGGACATCATTGGGCGTCATTGGTGGAAGAGCGCTAGAAGGAAGTCCCAACCACGCCCCAGGGGCGGTAAGAGATCTGGTCCACCAGTGGCGTTCAACAACGCTCCTACCTCCAGCCGTCGTTTCACTGTCTTCAGGTCCTGAAACTGGACTAAGCATTCTACTAGCCATGTTCAAGACTCTACAATACTTCATATGCACTTGCCACTAAAGATGACATCGATTTCACTGTCCTTTTAAGTCCTTGGCAGGTAGCGAGCAAATTAGCACTTTCGAGGTCTTGTCAATTGAAAAGAATCTTCACAGGTTTCACTTTGGGATACCATATTTTCCATTTCAGAAACACTCACTCACCCAGCCACTAGATAAAGGGCACATGCAGACGTAAGAGCGGCGAACGCTGTCGACAGTGCCGTGAAAAGTTCTGAAGATACCATAATTTAGTCTTTTTATAATGCTTCTCAAAGAGCTTACAAGGGGGATACATACCAGTTTTTCTGCTAACAAATTTCACCATACGTAGGAGCTCCACCTGTCGTGTACTGAAGCTGCTCAGTATTCCTGGAGCCTGAAAGGAACATAATTGGATAAAGGAATGGAATAATGAACCGATATCCGATTCCCCAGGAGCCGGTATTCTCGGTTTCCTATTAGAAGCGGTCCCTTATTGTCTTTTTGTCCGTGCGTCATGGGCTACATAAACGTTGTGCTCCTAGTGTGCGAAAAGATAGAGTTGGAAGGCACCGGAGCAGTAGTAAGTGAGTAGGAGTGGTTGAGTCTCTTCAAAGAAAAGTTGCAGGACAATGTGCCAAAATGGGCTGCGTTCTAACGCCACTTAACAGAGCACAGGACTTCGCGGCCTGGGATGGGACTCCGACGGAATCGGAGTCTCGTGTACGACTCAATCGTGCATACTCTAGGGTAGTTTGCCACTTTATTCCCCATGCCCCACATACATTATGAAGATCCCTGAAATCAGTCAGAGTCAAATCAGAAATCAAAATCATCCCGGCTAGGAGGTTCCGATTACTGTATGTCTGCCGCGTTTTCGTGGTCAAAATTGATTCCGCTCAGGATTCACTGAAACACTGCACTCTATTCCTTTTGGGTCTTAAGTCTGTCATGCAATTACGGCGAGCAAAAGATGATCAACGGAACAACAGGTGAGGTGATTCACTTATAACTACAGAAGGGCCACAAGACCGTCAGGGTTGCTGGTGAATGGACGCTTAAATGGCAACAAGTCCTAGGCAGGGTTTCAAACATGACCTTGGCCTTAGGCGTCAAACCCCATGCATGCCCAGTCCAACTTAAAATTCATAGGAATCGTCTTTTGAATTTTCAAAACCTACCTCATACATAATGCGCTGATAGATGGGTCGAAACCTCTGAGGCGCGGTACACAGCTCTTCCCATAAAGAGGCGGATCGCCCAACATTCGCTGTGCAGAGCGCTTGCTCGACTAGCGGTCGTTGCGGGACCGCCGCGCTGTATGAGGTCGATTCCATAAGAACCCAATTGAAGCGCTTCAATTTCGATTGCTGGCAAATAGTTATGTATTTGCAAGCATGCATGGCTATTTGCCAGCAGTCAACTGGAGCGCATGTACTACGGGCAGGTTCGGACAACTCGTCCAACACACATCTCCCTAAACGGCGGGGGAGTCCCTGTCTAAGCCCCTGCCCGACGTTTTTTTCTACTTTTTCTTTCTCCATTGACCAACTTCTCACCTGCAACGTCATTATAGGTGGTCCTTACCCGCGAATTCGTTCCTGGATTGTTGCTTTAAAGGAATCCTCCACGGAAAAAGCTCCGCCCTCATTACCACAGAAAACGATACCTTAAAGGAATCTTCCACGGAAAGAGTGATCATTTTGTCTTGTGTGTAGGATTAGTATTATCGAAACTTAACACGCCGGTGGATATGGTACTTTTTTGGGTTAAGGGCGGAAGTGGTGTAGTGGCAAGTGGCACGCTTACCACGCGAGCGGTCCGGGGATCAAATCCTGGGTCGTGAGTCGCCCGGGCCAACCAAGCCTTCCATCCCTCCGGGGTCGGTTAATTGGTACCAGACTTGTCTGGGAGGATAAAAACACTGACTTGTACATCGGCTGGCCCCCGCAAGTCATTGTATAGGCCACATCGCATTCAAACGCCACTACGAATGTACAAATGGAAGTAGAATGCGTGCCGCATCCCAAAAAGGGATTGATCAACGGCAAATGCTTTATCCTTATCCTTTTACACTTTGTTCCGTTCTTTTTGCTATGCTCATGAGGCTAGGGGCCTAAGGGGTATCGTTTTTCTAGGGTAATGGGGGCGGAGCTTTTTCCGCGGAAGATTCCTTTAATTCTCAGCAGAATTGAAGCGGTCGAAAAAAGAATTACCGTGAGTTGTTGAAGTCGAGCCGTGTTGGAAAGATCTTCGTTGAACGAGGTCCATTCTCGATTCACATGAGCATGTACCAGTACGTGCATAATTAAAGCCAGCGAAGACGAGAAGGCTATCAGTAAATAAACAAATGGGTCCAGACCGTACATCGTGCTCAGAGTTACAGGATACCTGAAAATTCGTAAGCACTTAATAACGATTCAACTTTACTATCCTACATCTGTTGTCCAAATTCCAACAGAACTCAGAGGCTTTAAGTCTGGATATATTTGAAGACACAATCCGCGACCACTTAATTGTTATTAATGACTCCATAGCAAAGCTCACTGGCGGCGCGGACGCGTACGCGCGTCACTGTAGCGGCCAAATAGCGAGGAAAGGCTAGCTCTGCTACCAGTAGTTTACTGCATTAAATACTGGAAGCACCTACCGTGCTCTTACTTCACTGTGTAATGAATAGAAGAAAGTAGGAGTCAAGCGTGTTTAAATCAACATAACCGTGACTGTGTACTTCTGAAGTTTACACATGGAAGCCCTTGAACTTCTCCACGTAAAAATCCCATTTCCTAGTGTCTCTACGTAACACAATCATTCGGATGCGGCACAACTGATTGAACAAGTTGGTATAGTGCCAGAAACCCAGCTTATTCGAGCAAAGTGGCAGCGGCGCTGGCCACTGCTCGCCCTTCCTTCGAATCTGTCGCAGCTGCGACGTCATTTGACGTCAACCGCACGCGCGAACGCGTCCGTCGATTATTAGTTCTCCTCTCCCCGTTTATAGTGATTTCGAAAATAAAGACGAAAGAAAATGGGATCGTTTGTGTGGAAAAAGGAAAAAGGGGAGTTTGAAGCACGACCTAAGGAGCTCTTCTGCCAGGATGTGGAGTCGAGATGAGTATACCAAGAGCTGGCGAAGATGCGGAGATCCAGAGAAGTTTTGAAATCCGAAATTGTTAGGATAGTGAGAGACGCAGACACCAGCGCAATTGGGCACGGTGACGGCGTACTCCTGCTGATAGTGTATGCATTGACAGCGATAAGCTCAAGTCTCATTAGCAAAGGACGTTTTTCTTGCACTGAGGGGAGTGCTTCTGGAAGTTGTGGAACAAGTATACTCTCCATTCTTGGAACGTCCCGAATAAAACTGATCGCAATGGAATGGGCTTAATCGAATTTTCGATTCAATTGTCGCTACAGTGATATAAAGACACTGAAATTGTTGCAACCAAAGCAAAAAGTACTTACTCAATGGAATAGAGCGACATTGATGAGATCCTCTACAGTAAAAGGTACTATCGACGAATGAGCAATTGGCAGACATAAAGTTACTGCGAATGATGATTTTCGATAAATGCCTAATAAATTTACTTTACCGTAAATTGGACCCTGAAAACTTCAATCTATGAAAATTATTGAACATTGGAATAAATCATGAAATATACGTACTCTGTGCTTCTGAACTCTAGCTAGAGTATCCTGGAATTCCAGCAAGAAGCGAGCATTTTGTCCTGAGACGCTTACGCTAACTCCGGATATGAACCTTGATTGACATGAATCCCCCAAACGCCTATCGCCCATAATCAATTGTCATGTGGGGGATGGAATAGCCGCGATATTATATTGATTATACCAGTGTGAAGCTTCACGAAATTTCAAATGAACATGAATTACTTACCTCGGATCATCATGTGTATAAGTGACCGGAAGAACATAGCTAGGCAAATGAGGAAGCAGACAGCAATCATGCAAATCGTCTTTGCCCAGCCGCTTCTCAAAATGAAGGCACGACTCAAGTCGAGACCGCTCCATCGTAGAACGACCTTGAATCTTACGACAATTTTTCCTTTCAGATTCCACAAATTTATACTTTTTCCACGGTCTATTTTGATGCGATAAATTTGACGTAACTGGACAAGCCAGAAGAATTTTACAAATACATAAAGCTCGAGAACATATTCGCTATTTAATCCCCCGATTGAGGCGATTTTCCAATGAAGGTGGTCATGACAGAAAAAATTTTAACGACGCCGAGAAATCCGAGAATGACCCCTCTGCCCGTGATTTGCACTGCTGTTAACCTCATAGTTGGCCGACTCAACGCTAAGCTCTCTGTCTATTATTATCATCGGATTTCGCCACGTATAAACTTCGGAGTGACCAGATGTCGTGGCGTATCGGCAATTGCGCCGCTAAGGGAAGGACAGGAAAGATACCGGATACGTTTTTTTTTTATTAGGTAAGTTTTGTTCCACTCACTTGACTTTGTTCTTTGACCTTGAAACCTCGTTTAAAGCCTCTCTACATCATTCTTGCCTACACAAGCTTCTCCTCTAGTTATAATTACTTTCAAGCGTTAAACCTAAATCCCCCCCCCCCCCAGATTGCAGGCCTACAAATGTTTTACATTAACATTAAGGACTTGCCGTTGATCGAAAAAGGCGATGATAACGCGACAAAGAAATAACGTTGGGTGGTCTTCAACCCCATGTTGATCTTCGATCATGGGTATGGCACCGGAGCTATCCCGTTTCCAATATTTTACTCTAGGAAATGAAACTAATCATGAGAAATTTTCTTTAAAACTAGCCAACCTCAAATGGTCCCAGGATTGTGGGTGTCATGGTGATTTGTGGAAGGGGCATTTTGACAGGAAGGTCCACAGGTTCTGGTGCGACATTCATTACCTGAAATCCATTGCGGCTACAATAAGCAGAAAAAGCAGCAAATGAAACGGATTATAGCGAACAAAGGAAGAACGCCTTTTATGTTCAATGAATGGTCATAAATAAGTAAAAATAATATATGACAGTAAATAAATAAACAACAGAAGAGTCGATAAAGAGCAAATAAGGAATACTGCAGAGGCGACAGAATTATCAACTTCAGACTTACAAATGTAACACTTTTTCAGAAAGATCTATTGAATTTTGAGGAATATAACAAGATTTCGAAAATCTAAGGTGAAGTTGGTGTGGTTTCCTTTTTTGTGTTCACCATTTATATCTTCCTATTTTTCAGCCATCCCCACTCCCCCCCCCCTCCTCCCCCACCCCAAACCCTGCTTAACAGGCACTTTTTAAGGGTGTTTTGTTTGTTTTCATGGAAAAGAGTGAGAGTTGGACCTCAAGACGAACTGTGACTCCTGAGACTCGGAAGTTGACTTGTGTACTCTAGCTGTCGGGTTAAATGATCTTTGGCTGAGAATTGTTCTAATCAAATTTCCTCGTCACGTGGCCTCATTTGCTCAGTAATACAACGGATATAATAGAGGCAAGCAAAATTACTGGACCTTCTTTTCCATTGCAAATTTGTCTTTCTTCGATTCTTTAACACTTTTTTGGGCGCTATCGCAAGGTACTAGGGCATCCTCTAGGACTAACCCTAAGAGTAGGACTTTGAGGAAACTTAAAGTTTGCACGTATTCTGGAGTCTCTCCTGCCTTGCTTAGGGACTAATCCCGTCCTGAAAAAAAAGATGTTTAAAGCAGTTTTTATTGCATTGCCACCATTATGCCCCTTACCTTGCGGAAGCGCCCTTTATTGTGACTCAGAGTCTAGGTTTTTTTATGAAGGCGACTCTGATTCTACAGGTCGCAATGGATGACGTTACGTTCTAGAAGCCGAGATTTTTCATGTTCTTGGGGGTGCCTTATGATTTTAGCATCGCACTGTATTACCCAGCCTTACAGGCAACTGTGCTGAAGCTTGCGGCGTTCCGTTGAAAACTAATGACCAGCTCCTGCTCAAGATGACAAAAGTCTGCGATTCGATAAGTTTTACGACTCGATTTTGAAATTTTTCAGCAGTGTCGACAATCATATTAAAGATCACAGAACAGCGAATACAATATAGAAAACAGTTAGGTGAAATGATCATCGGCTGGTGGTCGTGGGTCGTTAACTATAACTGGTTAGTAAACCGGAATCGCTCAAATTAAGAACTCAAACCGCTTGTTATGACAAAGTGTTCGATTTTCAATGTAAGAGTTTTACATAGGGATTGACATCCGGAACACTTTATATGGTTTACTAATTTAAGTTGGAAAAGAAGTTCTGCACAGTCTTTAAATTTTCTTATTTTTTATCTGAAATATTCGATTAGGTAAATTTTATTGAATACCGATGATTTAGGAATTCTCAATGCTTCAATCCACGAGGTGGAACATATAAGTTCTGCAGTCAGTAGTTATCCAAGAAAATTCAAAAAATCTCGACCACTAGCAAATCCGTACTCCGAGTCACTGTCTAGTACAAATGTCTACAAAACCATGGATTCGTGTCAACGACTGACACTATCTGCAATAGCTTCTAATGGCATGCCGTTCAGCGATACAGCGTGTTTCACCTTTACCAGCGCTTCCGATCTTTTGATATTATTTATAAGAAGCCAGCAGCATCCTCACACTTCCATTACAGGTAGGGCTCTCAGAGTCACTACTCTCTTCGTTTGGGCCCATTGCTGTACGCGTGGGCTAACGGTTTGTGAAGTACCCAGAAGCTGGCCAAGGTAGTGCGTAGAGCTCGTATGCCCGCGAAGATAATTTTTATCATATTGCGAATCACACATTATCGAAATGATGCGCCGGTAAGAAATTCTGGAGTTGCGGCAAGATTTCTTTCCTCTCTTAGCGTAATCCTCTGGTCGAGCTGTAAATAAGTGCTACCTATCCTGGACCTTTAATCATCATCTTTATAACGAAATAATCAGACGATCAACTCCAACTCGAAAGTGAGGTCGCCTCCTTTCTCGACTCGCACTCCGCTGGGTTTTGGCAGAGGAGGATCAAGAAATTTTCTGAGCGATGGAGACAAGTGGTGGACACTCATGGTAGATATAAGACCAGTCAGAAGTTGTAACCAAAAAAGATAAAATTAAAATCAAAAATTTGAAAAAGTTTTGGCGATTTCTTCCACGGCTATATTATGCGATATATTGTTACGCACTAAGCCTTGTTCGATCAAGGAATGAGAACAAAAGTTCTATCATACCCTCCCGCCAACTATATATCGTCCAGTCTTTCTGTTCTGTGGTCTGTCTAGTTATAGTTGCTGTTGTGTTTCAACTTTTCCCACTGAAATTCTTCAGCCTTCAAAGGCAGGTGGTCGGGATCGTGATCGTGGCGCTATGAGCGTTTGGACGGTGAGCAGAAATGTGAAGACAGTAAGTCCAGTGCAAGAAAATACGAAAGAGGCCTACGAAGCCGAAGAAGCGAAGGAGCGGACTTCTGCCGCGCACCCGCGCGTGTCCGGACGAGTTTTCCGAAAAAGAAAAGGCCTTGTGGAGCGTGGGCTCCATACCAGCTATTGCTAGCTCCTTTTTTCTTTACTGAGTTTTGCTTTCAGATGGATGAACCGCTGATGGTAGCATTATGTCACATCCAGCCGTGGGGGGTCATGAGCTAATCCAGGCGGCGATAGCTCATAATGTGTACTAGACCAGGGCATTTTGTTCGTTTGAGTCATGAGCGTGGTGGGCTACTCTGGGTATGCGAACACCGAACTATGTTTGCCAGGTAGGTTGGCGGCGACCGCGCTGCGTGCCTTTAAACAAGAAAGGCAGGAGTCAAGTCTGGGAGTGGTGTGTTGAGTTAGCGTCTCGGATGGCTCGATGTGCTCGGCATTATCGGCGGGAGCTTTTCCAAAAATTATCAAATTTTAGCAGTAAAAGAAACTAAAAATTTGCCAAGAAGCCTAGAAACGTTGGGCGCTGCTCAGAGTGTGACCGGTATTTGCGTTTCGCCTCTACAGGAATCACATTGATCACCTTCTCTTTTGGTTTGGTGAAATACGGTAGTTCTACTGTGCTTGATTGATTGACTTTGGCGCTGTGATTTCAAGGGTGCCTAGCATTTTTGCATTCCCTCATAACGACTGGCTAACCACTACAACTCTCACGCGCACTCAGTCGCGAAATGTCCTAAAGTGTAGACTGCTCCGACATGAAAGAAGAGGTATAAAACCTATCAATAGTCTTTATCACGTCAAAATAAAGTTACCACTGAATATTACCATTTATAGACAAAGAAACACGCGAGTTCACGACAAGGAAGTGTGTATTTGAACAAGAGACGTTAACGATAAGCGACGATGGAAGTAGGGAGGGTAGAGACGCCGACAGGGGGAAGGGGAGAGAAGGGAGAGGCGTTTTTCAGGGGCGACGAAGCTGACAACGCTTGACTCTCGAGATACTGCTCTAAGCCTCTCTGCCATTGTACGATACATATCGCCTCCTGTGCGATCTGCGCATGTTTCCACTGACTTGGTGCATTGCCCAAATTCTCATGAAATGTGCCCTCAAGGGAAAATTACCCGTTTCAGAAAAGTTTAATAAGCGTACGGAATAAGATAAGGAAGTTATTGTAGAACTAGTCAACTCGCTTGGTAGTGACGTCACAGTCGATGAAAAGACGGCGCGGCCATGCCGGCCCGGCATGAGTCGGCACAGAAGAGAAGGCCATGCAGTACATGGAGATTGATCAGTTTATTTACTTATTTACGCCTACTGTTACAGCATAAATTAAAGCAACAATTCCAGAGCGAATTCGCGAGGTAAAAATCGTTGATAATGTAGTTTTAGGTTAAAACTTAACCGATCGCAAAAGCTGCGAAACCCGCACGAACACGGCTCTAAACAGGGACACCCCCTCTGACCCTAAGCATGAGGAAACCATGTTGGACCAGTTTGTCTGA